TAGTTGTCTTGGAAGTGAAGCCTTTTGAATAAAACACTCCATGGGCTTGCCTTTATTTTTAGCTCATATCTGGAACTATAAAACGTGTTATGACAGGAGAACTCATGGACATAGAGCCGCAAGATGCTTTTCGTGTTTTGTCTGTAAGGCATTTGTTAGTGCTTCTGTGGAAGCTTTGCTGCACAGCAAGAGAAGTACAGGAAACAGCAAGAGGATGGCATGAAAATTAATGAATGAACAAATGAATGAATTAATGTGGCAGGGTCAGTGGGTTGCTAGTTTAAATGTAGCCTTCATCGACAAACATGTTCCTGTGCTGTGTTGCACTATGAAACATCCTTGTTAAGCCCATTGTGTGTAACCCTCATGTTCTGTTTGGGGTCTCAGAGATTATCTTGAAAAAATACTTAAAGTAACATTGAAGTATTAGGTTGACATTACTAGAATGGAATGCACAATATATTGGGTTCATATTGGTTAGTGGTCGATATTAGAGAATTTGTGTATTTATTGGTATAAGTCGAAATATTAAATGGTTTATGCTCATTTCTTCCATTTTTACGTTTAGATTATTTAGTGCGTCATCTAACACTTACTTACTATTAACCTTTAAAAATGCTAATAATTTAATAACACAAAAAATGTAATCATTAATTGTAATCTTTCGCATATCTCAGAACGAATATTAATTTTTAATACTGTAAATTACAAAACTATGATGCCTAAATTCACTTGAGTTATCTAAAACGAGTAATTTTATTTTAAGTGTTTTATTGTTTATTTATTTGCACAGAATAGTATATTTTTTTACTGGCCATTTATCAGTTTTCAACCAAAACATGAAAATATTGGGTTATCGATATCGCCTAATAGAAATACGAATGCTTTTTCATTAATTGAAATAAAATAAAATATAAATATTACATGAAAAAAATGAAACTTAAAATACTTGGCCTTGGCAATTATCTGAAATAAAATTAATTAATAAGTACTATAGTAGTATAGAAATAATAATAAATATAACACTGCTGCCTGCTGGGTTTTAAGTAGGTTAGAGATACTTCCTAAAATAATATGAAGGGAAAACAGGTAAATTTGTAAATGAGTATTATTATTTTTACATTTACATAATTGAAGTCTCTTGATACTGAAAACTAAAACATGTAAATTCAGGGTTATAACTAATCACACTTTCTGTGGTTTCTGACCTTATCATCTCTTGACTGTAGGTTACAACTGTTTAATATCTCTGGATTTGTTTTGGGCCACAGCCTGAAACATTCCTCCAGAAAACACTGTAATTAGTGCTGCTGTCTCAGAGCTCCTCCTTCCCGCATTACTCTGGGAATTAAGAGGTGCCTGAAAAAAAGTGAGTTCTGGAAGATGCGCACATACATGCACACACATGAAACAACCCTTGAGAGTGTCTGCTTGTGCGGTAGAGTGTTTTTTTCCCCCTGATTGTTACAGTTGGAGCTATTTAGGAATTTAGAGAGCTGTGATTAGACACACACTGATTACATACACACTGATTAAGCACACCATGAGTGTACGCACAGTGATTACATAGAAATTTCTCTATCATGAGCCTGTTGCTGTCCTGTGGTAAGAGGGTCATCTAGGGCAATGATTATTGTTTACTAGATGGATTCTCCATCACACAATATATTATATTATGATATATTAGATTGTAGCAAGATGCATGAAAATGTGTTTTATAAATGAGAAATTCAGAAATGAGAGAGTCAGTCTTATAACAGTTGATGCTTTTTTTCCAAATAAGATGCACACAAACCATAGTAATTGTCACACTAGACACTTCACATAAAAAACAGTGCAAGTTGTACACAAAATAAAAAAAAATGATTCAGTATGATTATTATGGGGCCTTTTCAAAGCATTTTATCTTTCACTTTTCTTTAAGAAATTGATAAATTGCATAGTAAAAGTGGTTAAAAACTTTGGAAATTGTGAAGCAAATGCTCCATAGTCAACTAAAAAATGAGAAGTCTCATTTGAAAGTGTTTACAGCTGATAACATTAGTGTAAGTGAACAGAACTGATCTGAATGTTTCTACAGTAATTTCACAATATGTGACCCAGCAACAATGTCTTACAATATTTGTGGATTATTTCCATTAAATTATTATAAACTTCTTTCAGTTACACAGATTTCAACTGCATATAAACATACAAAATACAGATTCCAATTCCAAATTTGAAAGTAAATAATTCCAAATATGCAGTTTTGCAAATAACAAGAGCAAAACCTTGTCTGAAAAAATAGCATCAGTTGTTAAGGTAGGATTGTTCAGTTATATTTTTATAGTGGGACTTCCCCCATACATCACATCACAATATAA